TCAGACTCTGGTCTCAGCAGAAACTCATCATAAACTGTGTCCTGGATTGCAGCTGCATGATTATCTGTGAAACAAGCACTTGAAAAAAGTTTTTTAGTTTTACAGTTATAAAGGTTTTTTCCACCGTCATGGCTGTAATATTTACTGTACACATATTCATGCATTGAAAGGACGAGTTTACCTATCACTGTTTGCGGCATTTAAGAGTTGCACTTTTTTTTCTCTCAGTCAGAATGGCATGGGCTGGGTATCCATGATGGCTCGTGTAGGAGCTATGGTGGCCCCCATGGTGCTTCTCGCAGGGGAATACATACCTTGGATACCAGGTTTAATCTATGGAGGAGCTCCTATTCTCAGTGGAGTGGCTGCAATATTTCTTCCAGAAACACTTGGCTCACCCCTTCCTGACACAATACAAGACGTGGAGGACAGGTAAGATCAATCTCCAGGAAACAGTCCTTTCCTTATATCGCTGCAGGTCCCAAAATCCAAACATTAATTTTAGTAATGGAAAGAGCCTACCATCATGGTTAAAGAGAAAGAGAGAGAGAGAGAGAGAGGATAACTGATTTATCCATATTTGCATTTTCTATTTTAAACACAGGGGATCTGGGAGAGGCTCCAAAGTGCCACCAAAGGAAGCAATAATCTTGCAAGACACGCAGGCGAATCTCCTAAAGCAGGCTCCCTGAGGGCATGTGTTTTGTACTCCTGATGTATGTACTGACATGTTAATGAAAGTAGAGTGGGTACTGCTTTTTCTCTGGCCTGTTTATTTGTTTGATTTCAAGAGTTTATTGTGTCTCATTACTGCTGGACAAATGGAGTTGCAATGTTATTTCTAGACAGGTCAATACAGTAAAATGAATAGCTGCAAACAATCAGACCTATGTTTATTTGCTATTCAGTAGCTTTGTGGACTTTAGTCTTATTTTGCACCAAATATGTTTTATATTTTGCGTATTTGTGTTAAAAAAAAGAATAATTCCTAAGCCTTCTACAGGTTAAATACTATGCTATGCTTTCACTGGTGTTTTTATAACTTCTTATTACTTTATATACAACCTTGTATTTGTGAAGGAAAATGTGTTTTCATTAAAATCAACACCTATTTATTTATGTCTTGTGTGTCTTTTCTTACGGTCTATTGAACCCAAATACTCAGCATGATTTGTTTAGTTCCCATTTAAATGGGCTGTCAGCTGAATTAACGGAAACAAGTCAGATGTATAACCTGCTTGACCAGGACAAGAATTTAAATACAGAAAAAACAGCACCACCCAGTGGGAGACAGAAATACAACAGCAGCAGCTAAAAAAAGGGTTCATCAGTCACTGCCTGGGCCAGATCTTATGGTTCTGAAACAGCACACCTACCTAGTGTAAGAAAACATATACAAGATAAAGTATTGCATCCTTAGAACTTTTAGTTCACTTTTTAACTTTATCTTTACATGACAACCTCTGGTTTCCCACAAACAAGGTCAAAATGCCCTTAACTTTTTAAATATTAAACTTTTGTGTCTCATAGACAGTCTAGCTAAAGTCTGCAGGACCTTTAATGGATAACTCAATCACGGGTATCTATCCAAATATGCTCACTTACATGTGAGCAGAATTCAGTCAGTGGGGTTTTTTTTTTTCAGTATTGGATTTGCCGCTTTTGAACATCCTATGAAAAGAGCTCAGAGACTTTTTTAAACTTATATTTTCACTTTTTGACCTTGTTTCATGCTCTGGAATTAACATGGCTCTCTATAGGGAGTGTTGCGGATCAGAGCCTTTCCCTATCCTCTCCACCGCAGAGAAAAACCAGTTTAGGCCAAAATTAATTTTTAATCATGGAAACAAAAATAATGTTTGATACATTTGTGCTGAAAAAAAAAAACATCATAGAAACTGCTGCTGTTCAGTATTGACCTTAACTGCTGTAAATTAATAATTAAATAAAAAAACAAACACTTAGTGGATAACATAATATTTAATATGCTAACATTAAGTTACGACTGTGCTGTCACAGTCTTGTGACACAAATAATAATTAACTATATTTTAAACTGAAAGGATTTTGTCGGTATTGATATTCCATATTCGCTATAATAAATGCTTGGAAACTGTTTTCATAAGTAAAGTAAATGTTAGAAACTCTTCCCAAAAACATCTATATGGTGTATTTTTATTAAATGAGGAAATATTACGACATACAGTACAGAATACCACTCACACAATGCAAAATAATAATTCTGGTGTGTGACTCTTGCTGTTGTGACACCATCTAGTGGTGCATCCATGCTAATGCATACGCTAAACTAAACATTTAATCATTGAAATATCTGTATATGATAAAAAGGAAAAAATTACTAGCTAAAATGTGACATGAAATCTTGACCTGCACTTCTTAGATTATACAGATTCTTGTTCTTAGAAGTGTGAATGTGCATGACAAATTTGGTTGCATTTCATATGTGAGGGCTGCTCCCACTTATATGTTCAGTTATCAGTTTGTCATTCAAGATTTTGTTTTATATGCAAAAGAAAATGTTAAAATATTGTCAAGAAATCCTTCTGCACAATTACATTACTCTGAGGAGTGACAATAATGCTGCAAGAACAATCGAGATTTGAAGTGGTTAGGAAAATAAATCCTGTGAGTAAGTTGTGGGGTTTTTTTTTAATTTGAGGATAGCCCCATACATTTTTTTCCTTTCAAACATTATATAATTTTACAATGTTCAGCTCTCATGCACAATGTGTTTATATGCCCTAGCACTTACTGTATAAGCTATCTCTTCAGAGAGCAGAACTACCATGTAAAACATTTGTTATCTATAAACCTCCAATCACCATATGAAACAAATACCATAACCAGATTTTATATGTGTAGTCTGTGTATCGCATGCATTATGTTAGACAAGTCAAACCTAAGGTCAAGATAAAATATGAACCAAAATGCAGAGCAAAGCTTTCTACAAAAATAACTACATCGTAAAATGATATGAATAAAGATTTATTTTCTCATATGAACAGGTGGATTCATTTTTCATTTTATTTTACAATCTATGACAATCTCGCATTTTTTTCTTTTTTTCTAGCATATTTCAGGAATGACATGGGGAAAGGTTCTTTTTTATTGCTGAATGTTAAATGAAATACACTTTCACTGACTGGAAAAGAATTGTCTGCTGCTTTTTTACCATGCACCCATCTAACCGTGACCACAAGGACATGCAGAAGAGAGGTGTTCAAACATTTCAAGCGAGGGTGGGGTCAGGTGGGGGGTGGGATCATAAAATTAAACAGAAGAGACTGGCAGGACGTGCCTGGTAGCATCTCGATTGGGTGAGAGGACAGGCAAAGTGAAGGGAGTATCACATTTAAACTAGAGGAGCACTGTCTTCTTTTGCATTTTTCAGACATACAAAATTAGACCCAGAGGTGAGAAACTCAATGAAATATCTGCAAGTGAGGTGTGACCAAAGACCGTTCTCTATAACGATACCACTGTGCATTTACCATATAGCAGTTAGAATTGCAGATCAATCTTTTTAGGAGTTTTTTTTTTCTTTAAACCATTAATCATCTAATAATTCAGCATTCAGTTGTTTTTTAAACAATGAGTAGAAACAGAAACTGTTCTCTCTCACTGAGTTACTTTTAATGGGTTTGACATTTCTTAAATTCTCTTTTAAATATTTACCTTCAGTGGAGGACAGGGGGCTTAAATGATTTTGTTTACTTTTGAAATTATCATCATTTACGTATTTAATTTGAAATGACAAGTTCTGTCAACAAGACAAAGCAGTACACAGTACTATTGGAGGAGACACTATTTGGATGCTATTTGACATTACTTGGAAGTGTGCATGTAAAGTGGAGCGGTCTAAAACCAAGTGATAACATAATTTATGGACACAGTCATTCAATGGACATGAGTATGTGAACAAGAAAGGCTGACAACTTGATAGATGGCTGCATAATGGCTTTAAAAACTAACTCATGTAAATATGCATTTATATCATGATATTTCATTCTACACTAGGCATCACATAGTTTTTTTTACACACAACACACTACAGTCACCTCTTAGAAAACGATGTAATCAAACAGCAAAATAGAAAGTTTGCATATTTTTGCATTGTATGACCCTCCATAGTTTCACAGCTATTTCATTTATAGTGTCTAGTATATTCTGTACTGTTTCTTCACTGAGCTGCTTCTGCTTGGCTTTCTTTCTCTCTGGATGGGAGTGTTCAGGGAACTGGTAGACTGTATGTTAACATTTAGGCCTTCATTATCTGAGAACCTTAGTCTTAGGTAGACCTTCAGTTGAGGAAGAAGGTGAACAGGGTTTAAGGTGAAAGGGGTGGGGGGTATGTGGAAATCCTGAGACACTGTGTGGCCTTTAACACGAGCCACAAAAACAGAATGGACACAGAAGTATAATGAGGCATGGGATTGGGGGCTGAATTGGGTGAAAACAGATGCAATCTTTTTTGTTTAGCCATCACCTCTGATGGCAAGGGGCACTGTGTGCCAAGTGGCTCAGTGTTTGTTGGTCTCATAATAGTCTAACATGAGGAAAACCTGCTGGGGAATAGGAGGGGACTTAACTGGGGCAGGCTGGGAAAGGGGCAGAATAGCTGTAAACACATCAAGCAATGACCTGCATAACATACAACCCTAAAGCAGCATTACCTGTTCACCTACACTGCGGGTGGGGGTAGGGGGTGGTGGGGCTTGTCATTGTTCTGATAAAGCACTATTCTGTGAACCTCTGAGACACTGTTCTATCAGCTCTGCTGAGACACCAGTAGACCCACACGTTTGATGTTACCACAACAAACAATGAAATTCATCTAACAATACATGCAAGCAAACTAACATGCACGCACGCACACACACA